TAGTATTCGTAAAATTTAGTTGGCGTGGAAATGCCGAGTGCCGCCTTCTGCGTCGTCTTTATACTCTGACTCAAGGCTTGTTTTCAAACAAGTGGTAGTGGGCTACTTTTTCTCGCGCTCTCGTAAACAGAGCGGGTACGTCGCACCGGGAAGGTTGCCAACCCTACAACTCGGGAGGTGAATTGATCACACACGCAATGACTTGGACGGCATGTCCTCATGATGTTTTTCTTTTCGTCGCTTCCTATAGCCGTGCCTCGTAGGAATTGCACCACGGTGTGACGTTCATGTGACCGCGCACGATTACTCAGTATTTACGGGCTGTTCTTCGGCCCTTGCCGTACTCTCTTCCTGTTTGTGTGTGTGTGTGTGTGTCGCGTTGTTGCTTCTTGTGACAAACTTACAAAGGCCTCAAAAAGTTGCCGCTGGCCTTCTTAAAAGTCGACTTTACTTGTGAACTGATAGGAAGATGGTGGAATACTTACGGAAACTTTCCACGGCCTGCTCTTTCTAAACTCTGCTGCCCTAAGATGTCGCGAAGCCTTTCTTCTGTCCTCGTTAACAACCCGCGCACTACCGTATTGACCCGAACATAAGCCCATCACTTTTTGCGTCAGTTTGTGTGAACAAAAACGTCTCTTTGGTATAACTTATCAATATATCTGACAAAAATTTATGAATGTCTTGCACTTATATGGGTAATATCTCACGTGCACACACATGAAATGCAGACCGTTCATCATAAGATGGCGTATTCTCAGCAACAGCGGGGCAGTTGTCAATTGATGCGAAGAAGCCATGTGCGACGGACATTAGGTCCCTATGAAAACTTTCTCTAGATATACCTGTTCGCTGTGAGTGAGTACGATTCATTTCGTGACAGCGTTTTAATATATCAAATAAAATATTCCGTGCGCTGACAGCAAGACACTTACAGATATGATCAGCTGAATATTGAACAAAATTAGAATTGTGGTAGCTCACGCATTGTAAGCAGCCACAATATTTAGTGCAATGTGTGAGGCATTTTCTTAACACCATGTGCCAGTTTTTATTACTTTTCATCATTATACCACTGTATGTCACTCTGCATTGCTCACTGAACGGAGATCGGTACTCTGGTTTGTGTACTCGACGAAGTAATGGTGGAGACTGATTTCTTTTCTTAGACCCTCGCTGCATAGACACCCTCTGGTGTTTCCAAAGGCACGCAAAGAGGTGCGCTGCAAAATAAAAAGCACACAAAGCCATTTCATTTTCTTTATTGATTCTTTTTGTTTCATATCGATTAAAAACTATCTTGGTCTTGTCACTGTTCACTTTGTACTCTGTGCTGCTCTAAATCGTACACGTCTGTACACGCAGCAACAAAAACTTGCCAAAGCAATGGAGATCTCAACACCCGTGCTTCGCGTTCTATGAACTTCTTCGCAAGTTTATGACTACCTGTATTGAATGATAGCCATTATTCATGTGAGCCCGGCTGTTCACGTGTTGTAATGATTTTAACATTTCTGATAATGAAGTCGACTGGAATGCCAGTTACCAATACGGCAAATATAGTAGTTTCAAAGCCACTAGTGTTTAGCTTGTTACATATGCTGAGACGTCGCGAATAGACTACCTATGTATACACCAAAAATGCGGCAACGTTGAGGTATATTTGTGAGATCAACGCGTGTTTTCTGACGATATTCTGATGCACATTAGTAACGTTTGCGAACTCAAATTGCTCCACGTGTCCCGAATATTTCTCAGCTAAGATTAGGAGCCTAGGTTTTTTACGGACAAGGCTGCAGCGACGATAAGTGAGCCACCCTTAAAGCTTCACGTATTCTAAGCCATGGGCTGAAAAACGAAGCCAGCTCTAATGCTGTATTCTGGTATGAATCTGCCTGGTATGAATCTATTTGGTTTCTCGAGTTTGATTTTGTGTCAACGCTAAGTTTCAGAACAGTGTGTCCAGATGGAAGTAACATAGTACAGTACATAAATTTAAATTCCGGACGCCTGTTAACATGAAGAATTTTAGTGGGAGAACCTTTCGCATTTCACGAGAAGACTACAATGTCGAGGTACTATCGACTACTGGGTTAGGATAAAGAAGCAGCACAGATAACAATGAGCATTTATTGAATTAACGAGCCGCGTAACAAAACTCATTTTGAGTCAGCACATATGGTATGACTGACAAATAAAAACTCGAATTCCCCTGTATGCATTGTCAAGCATTTTATAGACAGCCTTTTTTTTTAGGGGGGAAGGGGCTAAATGATATATATTTTGTACGTAATTGGTTTACGTCTAAGACACTAACCATAGTATCACCATAGTCCCTGAATACTTTCATAGTCCCTCAAAAGTATTGAGGGACTATGGTATGACTTACGTCGTTTGACATTTGAATTTTTGCATCTGTTTCGCTGCTGTAGCACTCGTTGATGCTGTAAGCGCGTGTTTCGAGTTTCACGGCGTTCTTCTCCGACCTCTTTGCTGTTCTGACGCACGAGATTACGGGATGGTCGGCGCGTTCTTAGAAATCAATGACGCTTTATCTAAAGTGTGCATTGTCTCACCTTGATGCCGTGATAGCGCGCGGCTAACAACAAGCATCGGAGCAAGTTTCGAGAGCGCACACGGCAGGTGACCGGGGCAGTGATAGAGGTGCCACGATTTATTTTGAGAAAATGAACGCTTGCCTTTGTTGTTGTTGTTGTTGTTGTTGTTATTGTTGTTGTTGTTATTGTTGTTGTTGATGATGATGATGATGATGATGATGATGATGGTGGTGGTGGTGATAATGATGATGGTGGTGGTGGTGGTGGTGGTGGTGATGATGATGATGATGATGACGACGACGACGACGACGACGATGATGATGATGATGATGATGATGATGGTGATGTATAATTTCTCGTGACTCGAGATGAGATAGCCTCTACGTACGCAGCTGCGCATCTTACGCGAGAAATTACCAGCTACACATGAACTTATTTTGGCAACATTGTGCCTTTGGTACGACTTGCTCACCATGAGAGCACCGAAGCATTCGACAGTGCCCGCTCAGTGAAAACGTGTTTATATCGAGTCACTGTGCGTTGGTTGATGATGACATTTGAGCCGCTCGCGTTTGGCCACAGTAGATTGTAATAAATCCGCGCCTATAAATACTATTGATGGTTTGAAACCGCTGACAATATTGTCCTACAGTAGAATTATCGAATGACAGAACTCAGTGCAACAAGTCATGTGTGGCTCGGGAGCACTGTCTAGAAACATGAACAGAGGAGTTGTAGCATATACCATCAAGTTTAAAAGGAAGTACTGCTTACTTTAATTTGAAACCATCGTATGACAATCTATACATTTTAATAACTGTTATTATTAGCCAAAATATTGCAATTCATCAATTACCGAGTTATTAAACATAACAAAGTGGCGTACCTCAAGTGAGTCACGTGTGCCTCAGCAGCTTATAAACATATTCACAGGATGCATGATTCGTCGCACCTTATAATCTACATTGATTCATTAAGGATGTCGAACGTCTCAAAGCAGCACGGAACCTATTAAAGACACTGTTATAGAGGGACGGAAACCGCCTTTATTAATATTTGCATTTCAGCACTGAAGTTACAGTGACATGGGTGGAATCATTCTATCGTCTTGCCAGTCTTGACGACACGATTCTCCTAGCCATACTGTCGTATGACCGTTCTCTTATTTTCTTCTTGTGTCTGCATTGCACGTTTAGTTTATTTATTATGTTGGCGCTCTGAATTACTGTTACGTATTGTGCGAAATTAAGCAGTAAATAAATAAATAAATAAATAAATAAATAAATTGAAATAATGCATATTTTGCTCGAGCCTGAATCATTCACTGTGACGCTGGAAAAGACTTGTTTTATTCAGACTGGTTGTCGTTTCACGTTTTATGCAGCTGACTGACAAATACCTAAATAAATGAAGAAAGAAAGAAAGAAATTGATATTATGCATATTGTGCTTGAGCATGAACCATTCACTGCGACGCAGGAAAAGACTTGTTTTATTCAGACCGGTTCAAGTTCATTTTTTATGCAGCTGACATGATTATGGCTTGGACAATGACGTTCCTGGCATGTTTTCCGCAGTACCGCAAAACACAATGCCGTACAGCCTAACATGAAGTGTAGCAGTGGTCTGTCATTGACGACTCCAGTTGCTACGTATATATGTTACCTTTGACGTCAGAAGATTGCTAACGTAAAAAGTTGCCAAGCACTGCATTTTCTACACCAAGCATCTTGAACACCCGTTTCGTGGTTTACTTCACGTCGTTATATGTAAGACGTTTTGTCGAGGATATCTATAAAAAACGTTCGAAGCGCGTGGCGAATACGCGTTGCCGTCGTATACGCCGCCATTTCTAGATTTGGTAATCGCGTATCAGGCCACAAACGTCGTAGAACTCATCAATACGACGCCTTCGTGGCCATTAAGCGTCTGTGTTTGAATATGTCTACGTGTACACAAGAACAGGAGGCTTGCTGAATGACACGTGGCTCGTGCACGCTTAAATGTTTTCGTGACGTTTGCACATTATACACAACCAAATTATTCTAAGAGACAACTAAGCCACGGCAATCATAATCAAAACAAACTAAAGTGTATTATAAATCACCCTTTCCGTTGGAGGAATCCGTATCCACAGCCTTCGAATTCGGACGCGTAATGCGAAGGTTGTAGGTTCGGATCTCACGAATGGAACGTGTGATTTTTCATTGTCCACGTTATTTCAATTCTATTCACGCCTTACTCACTACACCGCAGTTAAAGAAAACCATTAATAGTTCCTGCGATTTACATAGTTTAATTGTCTGTTGTATGCATTAGATTGAGTCCAAAAGAGAAACCGAGTCCATCGGCAAAGTTATTCCCCTTGTCTCGTTCGCCTATGTGTTTGAGGATGACGAGAATAGTCACTGTTCTGTACGTGTCGGCATTATGTTGCGCCGCCTCATCTGGGATAGCCATTTCGTGTGTCGAAGGAGGCCATGCTGTCCGTCACGGCAGGCGGCCGCGCAGAGGCGGCGGCCAGGGCAAGCTGCCTTTGCGCTTGCTGGCACTGCGCGAGGCTCGGGATGGAGTTCTTCTTGGGGCGGCCTTTGGGCTTCGTCGGCGGCACTGCGCACCCGCCCTGCATCACCTGCGCGTGTGAAAACTCCGTGAATATGCGTGCAACAATCCACAACAACTGCCACGCGGTGTCTTAAATCGTTTCCTCGAAAAGCCAAGAAATGCTAACTTAATGAAGCTAACAGACGTCTTGAACATTTGTGAAACAGCGCAACGACGACGCAGACGAAAGAAGAAAAAAAAAAGGGGGGGGGGGGGGAAACCACAGCGCCTGTCCCAAAACTAGTCAGCGCTCCGCCCCCCCCCCCCCCCTTCTTTTTTTTCTTTCGTGCGCTTCGTCGTTACGCTGTTTCAGAAGTGCTTAAGTACGGTCACCAGCTAGCCCGTTTTCAACCCTTATCCGAACAGACGATTATGTCGAGAAAGGCGTACGGGAGATCATTAGTATTTCTTAACTGTGATGTACGAATTATGACATAATTGCAAAGAAACTAAACTTCGCAGAAAGGCAACTTTGCGTCGATAGGGATAACGCGTTCGATGCGCTACTCAATGAGTTCCGACTGTGGTGGTACCACCGTCCGCTGCATTAGGTATCGTATTTCTCCGCCTGCTATACGGAGTGAGCCAGCGCCATTCGCACACTATACAGCCATGGCGCCGTGTGTGTGGGACTCTCTTTTATCCGATGGTTCCAGGGTATGTTTATCGACGGCAAGTTGTTTTTCCGCACACTTTATTTCACCTCTTTGTGTGTCATAATTAATACATCAATGTTAAAAACTACGATGACCCTTCAGGTTATGCCTAACCGTCAAGAAACGGGTCTTTTATCTGTTCCGCCTAATTCTTCAGTTCTTTCAAGAAATGCTATGAGAGGAAGAGGCAAAGGGTGAGAGTGAGTGAGGTTGACCAGAAGAAAAACTGCTGTTTGTTGGGCGAGAAAGGTAAAAGTATTGATTGATATGGGAGTTTTACGTCCCAAAGCCACCCTTAAATTTCATTATCAGAGACGCCGTATATATATATAGTGGAGGGCTCCGGAAATTTTTGTTTTCGGTTGTGTGCCATAGATTATGGGAGTGCATATTTTGTTATATCGCGTTGTTGATGATGACAGGGGAAGTCGGGAATGACGTACATGCGTGTGATGTATTTATTTGTGTTCGCTTTGAAATAAAATTTTCAGTTGCTAGTAAGCGCTTGTCTGTGTCCTCTCTGAGTGTGTGTATTTTCGCGCTTGTTTCATCACGAAACTTTACCAACACGCCAAACTGGCAGTCATCCTAAATTTTTACCACCTAGGGTTCTTTACCGTGCACCCAAATCTGAGCACACGGGCCTACAACATTTCCGCCTCCATCGGAAATGCAGCCGCCGCAGCCGGGATTCGAACCCACAACCTGCGGGTCAGCAGCCGAGTACCTTAACCACTGGACCACCGCGGCCGGGCGAGAAAGGTAAGAGTAAAAAATATAGAAACACGCTATAGGTATACAATGGGTATTCAAGCTCGCACCTGTTCATTACACACGACAGCAACCAACTCGTTAGTGGGTGCTGAAGTCGCTTGTACATACTTTTATAGCGTATCTACTCGCAGTCCTAACGCGCAATAGTAACCTCCTTATGTCATGGCTTGTGAAAACATGCTGAAAATTACTTTGTCTGACTACTGATTATAATTACTAAAGACGTATTATATAGTATGCTCTGCTTGCAATATTTTACGTGCGTGTGGCCCCGCTGAGATGGTGCTTGCCCGAACTGAACGTAAACTATAGGGGCTGCGCTTCTATTAAATTATGATTTCGCTCAGACTTGTTCAACTGTCACTGCTTGCAGTACTATTTATATTTGCTGTAACCTCGAATATCCTTGCTTTATGTTTTGTGCTCACAACGTGTGAGTGCGATCCGGTGTCAATTGAAGCTTTATTTCACTATATAATTTATTTTGCCAATGCTTCTTTGCATCGTACTTAGATGCACATTTCATTATTGCTGTTAACAAGGGAACATGATGATTGATTGCAACAGGAAAACGCTAGAATTCACTTAGTTGGCTACGACCTGCAACAATGGTGTATAGTGGCAAATGTATCTGCAAGGCATTTAAACACAACCCACTGTTAAATGGCGCAGTGTGGTTAAGACATTGTAGACCAAATACTGCGCATGCGCTGCTCGTGCTCTAAAGCGGCTAGCATATGCGCCACCCATAGCTTTGACAGTGACCGGTCTAGTAACATCCGATGTGTGTACAAAGAGATTAAAAGAAAAGTGCTTGTTCAATGCTTTATACAAGTAGCGTCTGATGGCGAAAAAAAGTAAGTTCTCGCCTATTCAGTCTTCACATATGCAGCGTAACTGACGTCATCTCGTGACGTCACTGCATTGTCCCTCATTCCTTGCTGGATGGGCGTGCACGAGTAATATTATACGAACAAGGCTGCCTGGGTTTTTTGACAAGAGGGGCTGCATACAATCGCTAATTGAATTTTGGGTTTTTCGGAGGAAAAGAGAATCTGACACGGTGCGATTCTTTCCTTTGTGGAAAAGGTGTGCAAAATGTTACCAAGTTTTGATAGCGCGTATGTAGCGGCAAACTCCGCCGGCTTTGATCATATATTATGTGCCGCAAGGAGCACTCAACGTGTCAAATTATCAACGCAGTGTGACCTTGGACAGGGATACAGCGGGGGGGACGAGGGGGTATGGATAGAGACACATTTATGTATGCTTTTCCTCGTCAACACTAAAATTTTTCAGACCGATCCACGCGCGTCCTTTGACACGTCCTTAGTGGCTGTCAGGGTCACTTGCTAGCGCGTCTTTGATCGCAGAGGCGTCTTATAGAGGTCGCTTTCCAGAGAACAACCCTGTTGACGCGTCTCCTGAACCTGCTTTTGCGTGCTTGAACTGGTAGGAGGAGGACAAGGCAATTACGCGACGTCGGCGTTAATTTCTCATCTCCGATGTGTTGACCACGTGACCAGACCGCACGCACGTACGCACGCCTGACCTTACACGTGACCTTGGTTGAAAAAACCATGGTCCCTATACTCGCTATAGCTTGGCTAATAGAGCGGTCGTGCCATGCATGGTCGTGGCACTATATAGTCGCTCGAGAGTAGAATCGTCGTTTGTAAACAGAACCGCGGGAAAACGCGGGAACTTGTCCTCACCTCTACAGATTGCGCTGTTCTGCGCGTGCGTGGCCTCTCGAGTGGCGTGGTCATCGCGCTGTGCATAATGGCATTATACGTGGCCGAGTAGGCGTGTGCAAATGAGCTTGAGGACAAGTGACTCATGCGAGTAGGATAAGACATGCACTGTTTTACCTTACATCGTTACCTGAACTGGCCGGGCTATGAGATATCCCTTCATGTCGCCAAGTGCTTACCTTTACGCGTTTGTACTATATTAGTTCTGGTGACTGTAGCCTTTTCATTATTTTATGCCGTTCTTCTCTTGGCGTGACGAAAGGAGCGCCTTCGTGAATCATGACACTTGGAATAGTGCCATCTTCCTTGTTTTGCAATGGTGAACTCACGTGGCCAAATGGCGTGCTACCATCAGAAGATTCATTACGCAACATTCATGAACGGCGAGCTGACATTCTCTCGCGGGGAAACGGAACACTCTTCAAATTAAAATGACTTGGAAAAATATGTAAAGCGTATTACTAACAATGTATAAACCTCGTCGTTAGAGGCATGCTGACGTGCATGTTTGTGTGGGGGCTTTAAGCCACATTTTCCCTGTAGCTTGGCCTTAATAAACTACGACATTAGGACACCAAACTCAGTGCGTTGATATAGGGATGTTGTTGGGAGAAGAGTGCGATACGATCGCACACATCAGAGAAGCACGAAAGGTGGCACTTTCAACAAATGAATTTCGATAAAGCGACACTATTTGCACACAGAACTTTTGTCACGTTTGTCAGTGTGCAGTCATATTCCTGTGCGAGCTCAGTTAAACTAAACTGACAAAAATGTGTGTGTACGCTGACATGGCCAGGGATGCGGCGGGAGATTTCGTTGGCAGGCTCAACACCCTACCACGCGAATACTGTACTCCGTGCGTGTGTCTGTGCGTGCATGAGGAAGGGAGAGAGTAAGTGGGCGAGCGGGTTGGTGCGTGTGTGTGTGTGTGTGTGTGTGTGTGCGTGCGTGTGTGCGTGCGTGCGTGCGCGTGTGTGTGTGTGCGTGCGTGCGTGCGTGCGTGCGTGTGTGTGTGTGCGTGCGTGCGTGCGTGTGTGTGTGTGTGTGTGTGTGTGTGTGTGTGTGTGTGTGTGTGTGTGTGTGTGTGTGTGTGTGTGTGTGTGTGTGTGTGTGTGTGTGTGTGTGTGTGTGTGTGTGTGTGTGTGTGTGTGTGTGTGTGTAAACAAGTGGGTGCATGTCCGTGCACGCACTCTCACATTTCGATGGTTTCGAATTTGGAAATTAAGCCTCGTAAGCCAACCAACAAGCCGCGTGGTATTTTTTTACTGCTGTACGTCAGAGTTCTCAGAAAATTTGAGTTTTTACAGACGCTGCAATGTAATTGTAGCCAGGAAAAAAGCTACGCAGAACCGAGTGAGGGAGCTGACGGGAGCACATTTTTATGTTATGTTACTGACGAAAAACGTGTGGGAAAGGTGCTGCAATGAAGTGCTGTTAGAAATAAATGGTACAATGTTGACTGTTACCGTGAAAGCCATGCAATCATATTCGACGGATGGTATGATGTTCAACTCGCAGTTTGCAGGTCGTTCTGTAGCTAAAAGTGTACTCCTACTGTGCAGGAGTACATTTATCAGAATTAGTAGCCCGGACTAAATTTTAGATCAAGATAAGTACCCGTCCGTATACGTTACGTAGGCGTCTTTCGCTTTCTTAGCGCTAATCACGCACAGACATTTTCTTCATTGACACATGACGTGCTATTGCAACGCCTACAACTATCATTTGCGGTTGCACTCACGTTTAGATAGGCTATTGGTAGTTCGGTTGTATTAAGGAGTATTTTCTTGTACTTCACCTACTGGGCTTCTTGCATATACTTTTTATTTCTGGTTGCTTTT